TAAACAAATTTTACGGGTATGAAAAATTAAAAAATTAATTAAATTGTTGTTTCTAAAATACCACTTGTTCATCTTCAAAGTATAGTGTTCATAGAGGTTGGATTTTAGTCTTAAATTCTAAATATTTGAAACGAAAACATTTTTCAAAATGAAACTGACTCTTACAGCATGTTTTTTTTCTTTCTTTCAAAAATGCTATTTTGACGCTAAAATATTATACTATATATGATTCACAAATACAATGAACAGTTTAATTTATAATTTTGATTTTTCAACATTTTTATATTCTCTTCTACAAAACAAATTTGAATAATGGTATATATAATTTTAACTTAGTATTTAATATGTGTCTTGAAATTTGAATGGAAAAAAATTAGTTGATGGAGTGTAATAAATTGGTTAATATAATTTATAATTTAGTTAATTAGTGTTTGACATAAAAAAAAAGTTAAGGTTAGTTAATGAAATTTATAATTTGATTAATAATTTTTTAAAATAAAAAAATGGAAGTAGTAAAATAAAATATTGATTATTATATTTTACGCTTTACTTTGTTATATTATATGTTTTACTTGTTAATGAAGCAAGGTGATTATTATTTTATAAATAAAAAAATGTTTAATAATATATTCTTTTTTATTAATATAATAATAAAAGTTGATTAATAATAAATTATATATTTGTCTTACAAATTTGATTTAAAAAATATATTATTCACCACGTATGAGTAAATATTGGTTTTATTTGTTGGTGGCGCCAACGTAACATTATTGTAGTTTTTTGAAAAATATTTTTTTGTTTTGATATTTTAAAATACATATTCATTTTATTTTGAAGATGAAAAGAAATAGTGTGTTTTGAAGTGTTGTTGTGATATTAAACAATAAAATATCAATGAAAGATGATATATTTTTTCTAAAAGTAAAAGAAAGATTTATTTATATTTTACGTATTAATTATTTGGTTTTTTGATTATTAAAATATTTTAAATTTTAACTCCGCCACCTCTAAAATCACATTCATAAAATTATAATTAATTTTATATTAACTCTATTAAATATATAATTTTGAACGATGTGCTATTTTTGAAATACAATGTCCTTGTAAAAGTATTTTATATTCAATAAGACTAGATTATTTTGACACATAATTATAGAATTAAAAATAAATTAAATTAAATTATAATTAAATTATTTAAATAACTTTTTATTTCATGTTTTTTTTTATGTGTCAAAATAATTTAGTTTATTGGATGTCAGTGTAAAATAATTTTAATTTTACATATTTCAATTAATCTAATATCTTTGATATATAATTCCTCTACGATTTTCTTTTTTATTTTTATATTTTAAATTTTTTATTTTTATTTTTATTTTTTAATTTTTGAATTTGTATAGTTGTTATATTCTGAATACATTTGATCTCAATACCATATAAAATATTGTGATATATAGGAATTATAATAGTCAAACATTTTGAAATAAATAATAACCAAAGTTTTTGAATAAAGAGTGAAATACTTTATTTTCATAAATTGATTATATATTTTTTGGTATCATATTTATAATATTTTATTCGCCAATTTTTTTTTCTCGATATTCCAATATATTTCTATAGAATATAAAAAAAAATGAATTGATTATTTGTTTAGTTTTTCAACAATAAATCATAGTTAAGTAAAACAAAACTGAGATCATTACACCGACTACTTCTCTTTCTTCTAGATTCACAAAAAGAATAAATTCTTGTGCATCTTTTGTAGAAAATAACACTTTATAACAAGTAATTTAATTTATACCAATTATATCCTATTCTTTAATTTTTTTAGGCCTTTTCTTTAGTTTTTTAGGCCCAATAGTTTATAGTTGTAGCCCAGTTGCTGATCTGATTTTCTTTTTTGTGATTTTTATTTGACTAATATTCAATAAAAAGTTACTCAAAGTCTACTAGAACAAATTTTCATTAGAGAGAATTTGTTGCCATTATTTTGTCATATTTTCTAACACTAGCTTAGGTTAATTTCCAATCACTTACAGGTTGAAGAACCACTTGTAATTTTGTGTTTTGAAAACAAGTGGCACATCCATTAACAATGCCAGCATTATTTCATATGAAGATTGGTGGTTTAGATTCAAAAGTTAATTTGAGATTGCAGAATTCAAATTACAACTTTGGACAACAGTATTTTCATCGACAACGAGGAAGAAAATTCTTAAATTTTCTCAAAAGAAAGAACACAATCTCAATTGTTTCAAATTCTTCTTCTATTTACAAATTCCGACCTATCAGGTTTCTCACTCTTTCTCTTCTCTTATACTTTTATATTTTTATATTTTCATTCTTTTTTTCACAAAACTCTTAAACAAACAAGACAAACATTCATTTTAATCAATTTGATAAAACTTATAATAATTAAAAAAAATTATTTATTTATGTATAAATGCCATAATCTTTCATTAATTTGTTTGGCTACACATAACATCGAGTTGATTGTGCTAAGTGAGAGAAAGAGAAGCTAATTTTCATAATTTTAAATATATCTGATGTTCTACTCATTTGATTGTAATTTATTTTATATCTATTACCTAGTTTGGTTGAGGAAATTGAGTAAGAGTCATATACTAGAAGCAAAATAATCTTATACTTTTTTCTATAAAAAACATAATAATATATCTCTTTATAATCTTAGTTATATTCATTGAATAATATATATTTTTTATATTCATTTAATAATCTATAGATCTAATAATTTAGATACTTCGATTATTAAATAAATTTAAAAATTAATTTTTTTTCTTATTTATATGTAACGCATACTTGAATGATTATATATATTTTTATTTCTTTGTTATAAGTTTCACAAAGGACTAATACATTTTCAAAAAAAATATACAGATACAATGTTTTGAATTTATCAATATTATTTAACACAAAAACTAAATATCTTCTAGACAAACAGATTTGAATTAATTTTTTATAAGAAAAGAATAATAAAACAAGGAGGTAAGGGTGGCATGAATAAATAAACCTAACTCCCAACTATAACCTAAATCCATGCTATAATAAATATTAATTTCAAACATATCACCGATTTAATTAAATGAAATGCTACCTGTATGTTTTCATATCCCAACCTTCATGAAAATGTCATACTCTTGTAATAGCAAAATTAAAAATAAAAAACTCAATTTTTAAGAGCGAATAAAAAACTCAATTCTTATAATGTCTGTTTTTATATTTTTTAATAGTTAATAATGGTTATTAAAATATTAAGTTCTATGTCTCTATCAATCAAACACATAGTCTTAATTAATTTTAAGATAAACACAAAACCACATCTCATAGATGAACAACATATATATATTTTAAAGAGGGTTAATCATTAACATTATACTAGTTTACATGGATAACAGAGTATGGATATTTAAAAAGTCAACTCTTTTTCTTTTTCTTTTTACTTTTACATCAAATTCCAAATATATTTGTTTTTACCCTAGATATTAATATTCTTTTCTTATTTTGTTTTTATCCCAGATATAAAAAATAAATTTTTTTTTAAATTACAGTAAAATATTTAAAATTGATATTTTGAGAGATAATTTGAGTGTTGTTGGTGATTGTAGTTTCCATATTTGACGGATTAAGAAGAAGAAGGGTTGGTGGTGGGCACCGCCACCACAACAACTCCTTCATATCATAGAAAACAAACAAAAAAACCGTTCTTTCTTTATTCAAAACCATTTTCCATTTCATAACAGCGTTCATTTTTCCAACCCCAATTCATATTCGCAATCAAAATCCTATTTTTTTTACTGGGTTGTCAAATTCAATGTTCAATAGTAATTACAGTTTTAGAGAGAGAAAGTGGGTAGCTGGGAACTACTACTAGTATTTAGGAGAGAGAGAGAGAGAGAGAGAAGAAGTGTTGTGGCACTGGCAGGTACCACGTGCTTCATTCATTCATGACTCTCATCAAACCTTAACCCAAACCAAACCTACCTCTTTTTTTCTATTTCTTTGGTTGTTTTTTGCATGATCATCATTTACATGCATTCATAATTCACCTTCTATAACCTCTCTATTTCAATGCTTCTTCTTCTTCCTCTTAAACAATAAACTTTGCTAAATTATTGATTTCCGGTTTCAAGGTTTGTGTCTATGACCCTTTTATTTTTTATGTTGATTCATTGGGTTTGGTTGTTGGTTTTATTTGCTATTTTTGTTTACCTTTTGTTTTGAGGTTTAGAAGGTTCTATGCTTAGGTGAATTTTACATTGTTCATGAAGGAATGGAAGGAAAGATTTTTATGCCCAATTTGCTTAGAATTGTTCAAAAAATTGTGTTTTTATTTGGTGGGTTGGTTCAATTTTTTGTTGGTATGCTAAATCATAAGGTGGGGGTGAGTAATTGGTTGAAAAAGCTTGAATGATAGCAATCATTAGATACTGCTTTTTTTTTGGGTTCATTACCGAATCTGAAAGTGAGAGTGATGGAAAGAGAGAGAAAAAGAGAGATTCTCAACTTTTAGGCTGTCTTTGGCTGTTTATATCTTGCAGTGAAAGCTGTGAGGTTGGGATTGATGGATTTGTAATTGTAATAGAGTTTAATTGATGTAGCTCTGATTTGCCAAAAATGAGTTTCCCTCATAATCAGTTTTAGCTCTTTTAGTGCTTTAAAATTTAAGTTTCTCACCAAGTCTATATGTGGTTGACCAAACAGAACCTAGCAGTTTTTTTAGTTATTTTATTTTTTATACTCTGTTAATTTTGCCGGATAAGTTAATATATATAGATTTTTTCTGTTACTTGTTTATATGTTTTATCTTGAGTTTCTTCTATACACGAAGCTACACGAATAATTTTCATTAAATTTTTCTGGATTTCTGTTTGTAAATAAGCAATATCAATTGGAGTAAAGAAAAAAAATGTAAATGTTTTGAGTTTCTGCTGATCTATTTTTTATTGTGTAGTATATTGGAGACAGCTAGACAGAGAAATATAATGGCTAGTGCCGGGCATGGAAATGGACACATAAATGGCGTGGTATCGAATAGGCACACTGCTACAATGTCTGAAGTAGATGAGTTCTGCCATGCCCTTGGGGGAAACAGGCCGATTCATAGTATATTGATTGCGAACAATGGAATGGCGGCGGTTAAGTTTATACGCAGTGTAAGGAGTTGGGCTTACGAGACCTTTGGCACAGAAAAGGCTATTTTGTTGGTTGCCATGGCTACTCCAGAAGACATGAGAATCAATGCGGAGCATATTAGAATAGCTGATCAGTTTGTGGAAGTACCTGGTGGGACCAATAACAATAACTACGCCAATGTGCAGCTTATTCTAGAGGTGTGTAATGTCGACTTCATGAGATTACTGCAGCTTGTTCTTGTCGTTTAAATGATTTCAGTGCTCATGCAATTGTGATTATTTTGATCTGCGTAACTTGTTAATTTTGCTGACGGCAATGCAATGCCTTTCCCAGATTGCTGAGATAACTCATGTTGACGCTGTATGGCCTGGTTGGGGTCATGCATCAGAGAATCCTGAGCTACCAGATGCATTAAAAGCAAAAGGAATTGTATTTCTTGGACCTCCTGCAGTATCTATGGCGGCATTGGGAGATAAAATTGGTTCATCGCTGATTGCTCAGGCAGCAGATGTGCCAACCCTTCCATGGAGTGGTTCACATGTAAATTTTCTCTTGCGTTGTAGTTTATTTAATTTGTATGGGTTACCCAAGTTATGACTTTGTAATTTTTCCACAGGTGAAAATTCCTCCTGAAAGCTCCTTGATTGCTATACCTGATGAAATTTACCGGGCAGCATGTGTTTATACAACAGACGAAGCAATTGCAAGTTGTCAAGTTGTTGGGTACCCTGCAATGATCAAGGCATCTTGGGGTGGTGGTGGTAAAGGCATAAGAAAGGTTTGCTTCTTGTATGCTTCTTATAGTATCAATGCCTATGAAGCACTGACACAAACATCAGATACGATATTGACACTTACATGTTGAAACTGGCAATGTTTTGCAAACAAGAAAGTGGTTGAATATAACTAAATGTGGCAGTGTCAGAAACTTGGACAAATGTTTAATATGAAGTATCGGTGGTACATAGATCGATGCTGATAATCTTGTGCCAATCATATTTTTGTGTGTTTTGTGTGGTAATAGTCAAGAAACTAACAGACATGTGGATATTTTAGGTTCATAATGATGATGAGGTAAGGGCATTGTTCAAGCAAGTTCAAGGTGAAGTTCCGGGCTCACCTATATTTATAATGAAAGTTGCTTCCCAGGTTAGATAAACCACTGAACTTTGATCTGAATGAGCTTGATTCTTGAAGTTCTGATTATATTCTGACGATCTCATCTCTCTTGCTTCTAAATAGAGCCGGCATCTTGAAGTCCAACTGATTTGTGATCAGTATGGAAATGTTGCAGCTTTACACAGCCGTGATTGCAGTGTTCAAAGAAGGCATCAAAAGGTATGAAAATCTTATGTTACTAGTTATTACACCAAATTGTCATGGTGGAATGAATCTCCGTAATGACATAATCAATCATCTGTAACAGATTATTGAGGAGGGTCCGATTACTGTAGCACCCCCAGAAACGGTTAAAGAACTTGAACAGGCGGCTAGACGATTAGCTATATCTGTAAATTATGTTGGGGCAGCTACCATTGAGTATCTTTACAGCATGGAAACTGGCGAGTACTACTTTTTAGAGCTGAACCCCCGTCTACAGGTGTTGTACTCTTTTTTGACTTTGACATAGGAACTTTATCTTAGTATTTTGTTGTCATGTTTATAATGTTTCCTGATGTTGTTTTGCAATTATTGATATATAGGTTGAGCATCCTGTTACTGAATGGATAGCTGAGATAAATCTTCCAGCAGCACAAGTTGCTGTTGGGATGGGCATCCCTCTCTGGCAAATTCCCGGTAAAACTTCAAATATAATGTTTTTACTGTTATTGCTTTGGTACATATATTTCACGTGTCTCACACTCATACTTAACAGAGATTAGGCGTTTCTATGGGATGGAACACGGTGGAGGGAATGATGCTTGGAGGAAAACATCAGTTTTAGCTACCCCTTTTGATTTTGACAAAGCACAGTCTACAAAGCCAAAAGGCCATTGCGTGGCTGTGCGAGTGACTAGCGAGGATCCTGATGATGGTTTCAAGCCCACAGGCGGGAAAGTGCAGGTTACCTACTAAATCCAACAGCAATTTCATCTTTAACTCATTAATCCCTTTACATATACTGAGTTAAAAATATTTTCAGGAACTCAGCTTTAAAAGTAAACCAAATGTTTGGGCTTACTTCTCTGTTAAGGTAAATCTTCTATCTCATTGTTTGTACTTTTAATTTGATTGGTGAGGTGCTAAATTTTGGCAATTATATGTTTGCAGTCTGGAGGAGGAATCCATGAATTTTCAGATTCTCAGTTTGGTATGCAGTAACTTCGATCGTGAAATTGCAGATTCTAGGCTATCATGTTGATATTTTTAATGTATAGATATATATTTTTTCAGCTGCTAATATCATAAGTTTTACCACAGGACATGTTTTTGCCTTTGGAGAATCAAGGGCTTTAGCGATTGCAAATATGGTTTTGGGGCTGAAGGAAATTCAAATTCGAGGAGAAATTCGTACCAACGTTGATTATACAATTGATCTTCTGAATGTAAATCGCTATCATGATGACAACCTAGTTTTATGAAAAGTGGTTATTATGGAGAAGTGACACTATTATAATATTTTATCTCAGGCTTCTGACTACAGAGATAACAAAATTCACACAGGATGGCTGGACAGTAGAATTGCAATGCGAGTTAGAGCAGAGAGGCCTCCTTGGTATCTGTCTGTTGTTGGAGGGGCACTCTATGTAAGCAAACTTTCTTATTTTTAATTTTATCATTTTCTCCTCAAGTTTTTGGTATTTTCTCATGTTCAAATTCATGATCTGTGGCTTCTTCCGATTTATACAGAAAGCTACTGCGAGTAGTGCTGCTTTGGTTTCAGACTATGTTGGCTATCTTGAGAAGGGGCAAATCCCTCCTAAGGTATTATATCAAAACGGGGAAAAACTTGAGATTCATAGTGTGTCTAACTCCGTGCTTATTTTCTAGTGATACTAATGTTTGTTTATAATTATGCTAGCACATATCTCTTGTCCATTCTCAAGTGTCCTTGAGCATTGAAGGAAGCAAGTATACTGTATGTAATCTTATAAGTTCAATTTGATTGACATTTTTTGTAATTCCCTTACCTTTTTGGAACTTACGCCATCATATGCAATGCACAATTTGCATAACTCATCTTCCAAAACAATTTTGTAGATTGACATGATACGAGGAGGACCTGGAAAGTATAGATTGAAATTAAATCAATCAGAGATAGAAGCAGAGATACATACTTTACGTGATGGAGGTTTATTGATGCAGGCGAGTATTATTCTCTGAACTATCTATGCATTTGAACTTTTGTAGCTATCTTCGTTAGAATATTACTCGATATAGTCAATTTTATACCATAAGTTTCTTTGATTTTTTAACCCTTAGTTTCCATTTGTTACAGTTGGATGGAAACAGTCATGTAATATATGCAGAGGAAGAAGCAGCTGGGACTCGCCTTCTAATTGATGGAAGGACTTGCTTGCTTCAGGTGAAACTAGTTTATTTCTACCTTTAAAAATTTGATTTCTTTTTAAGGTGGCTGAGTTAACTAAACACCTTTCATATGCAGAATGATCACGATCCATCAAAGTTAATTGGAGAGACACCATGCAAGCTTCTAAGATACTTGGTTGCAGACGATAGTCACATTGACGCAGACACACCATATGCTGAAGTTGAGGTCATGAAGATGTGCATGCCTCTTCTGTCCCCTGCTTCTGGGATTATTCATTTCAGAATGGCTGAAGGTCAAGCCATGCAGGCTGGTGAACTTATTGCAAGGCTTGATCTTGACGATCCTTCTGCTGTAAGAAAGGCAGAGCCCTCCACTGGGAACTTCCCAGTCCTGGGCCCTCCTACGGCAATTTCAGGTAAAGTTCATCAGAAATGTGCGGCAAGCTTAAATGCTGCACGGATGATTCTCGCTGGCTTCGAGCACAATATTGATGAAGTGAGTAAATTCCTCCCCTTAATTATTTTACAAATTATTCTGACATTATTTTTGGATTTTGCTATTATTCGAAACTTGTATTTGCCTTTCTTATTAACAAGCTAGACATCTGTGTCAGGTTGTGCAAAGTTTGCTCAATTGCCTTGACAGCCCTGAATTACCTTTCCTTCAATGGCAAGAATGCTTGGCAGTTCTGGCAACCCGTCTTCCTAAAGATCTAAGAATTGAGGTAAAGGGACACCTTGCCTGTTTTTTCACTCTGATTTAATGTTTTCGGAAGTGATCTGACCTACCCTTGAACTATTCTGGTATTTCAGTTGGAAGCAAAATATAAGGAGTTTGAGATTATTTCAAGCTCCCAAAATATTGATTTCCCTGCCAAATTATTGAAAGGAATTCTTGAAGTGAGTTGATGTTCCTGAATTGCTCATTCTGATATTTTTCATTTTAATACAAATAAATTCATGGCGGGTGTTTTATACTGCAGGCTCATCTTTTCTCCTGTCCTGATAATGAAAAAGGAGCTTTAGAAAGACTAGTTGAACCTCTGATGAGTCTTGTAAAGTCTTATGAGGGTGGAAGAGAGAGCCATGCCCATAAAATTGTTCAATCTCTTTTTGAAGAGTATCTCTCAGTTGAAGAACTATTTAGTGATAATATACAGGTTAGTGTGATTATTTGACTGCTTGTACTAATTTTATTTGCGCAATTGAATCTGTTATGACCTTTGGGCTTCTATCAAACAAAATTAGTTTTTCTAGATGATGTTCATAAAATGCATGATTTGTTGTTTTTCTTATTTAGCTTTTACAACACACTGGAATCAAACTATTCATTGTATGTCTCAGTGTGCTCATATAAAAGAAACCGTCAACACATTTATTTTTCTTTATTTTCATGTTCATTTCATTGAATTATTTGCTTATCATTCAACTACTTTGAAGCTAAGAAGGAATTTTTAACATAAAAGATATACGATGTATTTCTAATTACTCCGTTTCCCAGAATATTCATAACATTTCCTCTTTCCCCTGCTGTCTAGGCTGATGTAATTGAACGACTCCGTCTTCAATACAAGAAAGATTTGTTGAAGATTGTAGATATTGTGCTCTCTCATCAGGTATACACACTTTTATTACATACTCAGCTCGAGTGATTTCCTTCTTGATGTCTTGTTAACACGGTACTGCAATTATATTAACTGCATTTCATGGGTTTCAGGGTGTCAAGAGCAAAAATAAGCTGATACTGCGACTAATGGATAAACTGGTTTATCCTAATCCTGCTGCCTATAGGGACCAATTAATCCGATTCTCCCAACTCAATCATATTGTTTCCTCTGAGGTTGGTATTGCTATATAGAGGGTTCTATGATCTGCATAATGTTATATTTTAAAGAGTCGCAGTGTCTCTTTTAATTTCATTTTGAGTATGGTACTTTTAATTTCTGTAAAACATTATGATTTGAATCCTGATTTATGATCATCTTGTTGCAGTTGGCTCTTAAGGCAAGTCAACTGCTTGAACAAACTAAACTGAGTGAACTTCGATCCAGCATTGCTAGAAGTCTTTCTGAACTAGAAATGTTTACTGAGGATGGTGAAAATATTGATACTCCGAAGAGGAAGGGTGCCATTAATGACCGAATGGAGGACCTTGTGAGCGCTCCTTTGGCAGTTGAAGATGCCCTTGTGGGCTTATTTGATCACAGTGATAACACCCTTCAAAGGAGGGTTGTGGAAACTTATATACGTAGGCTCTACCAGCCATATCTTGTCAAAGGCAGCATCAGGATGCAGTGGCACAGATCTGGCCTTATTGCTACGTGGGAGTTCTTAGAAGAATACGTTGAACAGAAGAATGGAGTTGAAGACAAAACACTGGTGGAGAAACATAGTGAGAAGAAATGGGGAGTGATGGTTGTAATTAAATCTCTTCAATTTTTGTCAGCAATTATCAGTGCTGCATTAAGGGAAGCAACCAATAACTTCCATGATGCACTTAAAAGTGGTTCTGTCGACTCAAGTAACCTCGGTAATATGATGCATATTGGACTAGTGGGCATCAACAACCAAATGAGTTTACTTCAAGACAGGTAAAGTTTCGGAAATTACATACATTATTTTGAACCTTTTTTTTTCTTTGATTTGTCAAAACATCAATGGTTATATTGTAGTGTAGCTAAACTTTTTGGTCTTTTGCAGTGGTGATGAGGATCAGGCTCAAGAAAGAATCAATAAGTTGGCCAAAATACTCAGAGAGCAGGAAGTAGGGTCCATAATACATGCGGCCGGTGTTGGAGATATTAGCTGTATCATACAGAGGGATGAAGGGCGTGCTCCAATGAGGCATTCCTTTCACTGGTCAGCAGAAAAGCTATATTATGAAGAGGAACCCTTGTTGCGTCATCTGGAACCTCCGCTATCCATTTATCTTGAATTGGTTAGTTATTTCACGCTTCAAGTTCCTGTTTTATTTTAGAAGGTGCGAAAGAAACATATTTCATTCATATGCTTGATCTTTAACCCATTTAATATTTGTCTGATTACAGGGCAAACTTAAAGGCTATGAGAATATACGTTATACACCATCCCGTGATCGTCAATGGCACCTCTACACGGTTGTGGATACCAAGCCACAACCAATTCAAAGAATGTTTCTTCGAACACTTCTCAGACAGCCAACCACAAATGAAGGATACTCTGCTTATCAAAGGGTAGATGCAGAATCGTCTCGTACCCAATTGGATATGTCCTTTACTTCAAGGATCATTTTTAGGTCCTTAATGGGTGCAATGGAGGAGTTGGAACTTAACTCACACAATACCACCATCAAATCTGAACATGCTCATATGTACCTCTATGTCCTACGTGAGCAACAAGTAGATGATCTTGTGCATTATTCCAAGTAATTATTACCGCAAACTTCTACCTATATATATTTTTAATAATATTTATAAATATTCTTTTATTAGTGTGAAGTTAAAAAGATTTCATCCGGCTCTTACAATTTTTGGATGTTAATACCAGGAAAATCAACATAGATGCCAGTCAAGAAGAAACAACAGTTGAGGCAATCTTGGAAAAACTGGCACAGGAAATCCATTCCTCTGTTGGTGTAAGAATGCATAGATTACGGGTTTTCGTATGGGAAGTAAAACTTTGGATTACAGCATGTGGACAGGCAAATGGTGCTTGGAGGGTCATTGTAAACAATGTTACTGGTCATACATCCACTGTACATGTAAGTTTTTTAGTTTCTTAAATATTTAAAGGAAAACTTCCTGCATGATTTTCCCACTCAGATTCGTAATTTTTAAAATTCAGATATATCGAGAAAGGGAGGATGCCACCACTCATAACGTGGTTTACAGTTCAGTCACGATAAAGGGTCCACTGCATGGTGTACCAGTGAACGAAAACTATCAACCTTTGGGAGTTATTGACCGAAAACGTCTCGCAGCAAGAAAGAGTAGCACCACATACTGCTACGATTTTCCCCTTGTAAGTTATTTTGAATGAATTTAGTGATAATTTCCCCTGTAAGTCAAATTAGGTTATCTGATGAGAAATGCTTCTTGCAGGCATTTCAAACATCCTTGGAACAGTCATGGTCAATTCAACAGACAGGAATTCAAAGAGCTAAAGATAAGGATCTCCTAAAAGTAACGGAGCTTAAATTTTCAGAGAAAGAAGGTAGCTGGGGTACTTCTCTTGTTCCTACAGAGCGTCCTCCTGGACTCAATGATGTTGGCATGGTAGCCTGGTTGATGGAAATGTGTACTCCTGAGTTCCCATCTGGAAGGACAATATTGGTTGTTTCGAACGACGTTACATTCAAGGCTGGTTCTTTTGGCCCAAAAGAGGACGCCTTCTTTAGAGCGGTAACTGATCTTGCCTGTGCTAAGAAAATACCTTTAATTTACTTAGCCGCAAATTCTGGTGCCCGTTTAGGTGTAGCCGAGGAAGTCAAAACTTGTTTCAGAGTTGGTTGGTCTGAGGAATCTAAACCTGAGCATGGTTTTCAGTATGTATACTTAACACCTGAGGACTATGCTCAAATTGGATCATCAGTGATGGCACATGAATTAAAACTTGAAAGTGGAGAAACCAGATGGGTTATAGATACCATTGTCGGCAAAGAAGATGGATTGGGAGTTGAAAACTTGAGTGGCAGTGGGGCCATTGCCGGTGCCTATTCAAGGGCGTACAAGGAAACCTTTACATTGACATATGTGACTGGTAGGACTGTTGGAATCGGTGCTTATCTTGCTAGGCTTGGGATGAGGTGCATACAGAGGCTTGATCAGCCTATAATTCTTACCGGTTTTTCTGCACTAAACAAACTTCTTGGTAGGGAGGTGTACAGCTCTCACATGCAACTTGGTGGACCTAAAATCATGGCAACTAATGGAGTTGTTCATCTTACTGTTTCGGATGACCTTGAAGGTGTTTCTTCTATTTTAAAGTGGCTTAGCTACATTCCTTCTCATGTAGGTGGTGCACTTCCCATTGTAAAACCCCTGGATCCCCCAGAGAGAGAAGTTGAGTATTTACCAGAAAATTCATGTGATCCTCGTGCGGCCATATCTGGAACTCTGGATGTTAATGGAAAATGGCTTGGAGGCATTTTTGACAAGGACAGCTTTGTGGAGACACTAGAAGGATGGGCAAGGACAGTTGTTACAGGAAGGGCAAAGCTTGGAGGAATCCCTGTGGGAATTGTTGCAGTAGAAACACAAACGGTTATGCAAATAATACCTGCTGATCCAGGCCAGCTTGATTCTCACGAGAGGGTTGTTCCTCAAGCTGGGCAAGTGTGGTTTCCTGACTCTGCGACCAAGACGGCCCAAGCGATATTGGATTTCAACAGAGAAGAGATCCCGCTTTTCATTCTCGCAAACTGGAGAGGCTTTTCAGGCGGGCAAAGGGATCTTTTCGAAGGAATTCTTCAGGCTGGTTCAACTATTGTCGAGAACCTTAGAACATACAAACAGCCCATATTTGTATACATCCCGATGATGGGTGAACTCCGTGGTGGGGCTTGGGTTGTTGTCGACAGTCGAATCAACTCAGACCACATTGAAATGTATGCCGAACGAACAGCTAAAGGTAACGTCCTTGAGCCAGAAGGAATGATTGAGATCAAATTTAGAACAAGAGAATTGTTGGAGTGTATGAGAAGACTTGATCAACAATTAATTACTCTGAAGGAAAAACTTTCAGAAGCCAAGAGTAACAAGGACTTCGGTACATATGATTCTGTGCAGCAACAAATTAGATTCCGTGAGAAACAACTTTTGCCTTTGTATACTCAGATTGCTACCAAATTTGCTGAACTACATGATACATCCTTAAGAATGGCTGCAAAGGGTGTAATCAGAGAAGTTCTTGATTGGCGTAACTCACGTGCTGTTTTCTATCGGAGACTGCACAGAAGAATCGGAGAGCACTCGCTGATAAACAGCATAAGAGATGCTGCTGGTGACCAATTGTCACATGTATCTGCCATGAACTTGCTCAAAGACTGGTATCTGAATTCTGATATTGCCAAAGGTAGAGAAGAAGCTTGGCTGGACGACGAAACATTCTTCAGATGGAGGGATAATCCTGCAAATTACGAGGATAAACTAAAGGAATTGCGCGTTCAGAGACTGTTGCTTCAGTTGACAAATATTGGTGACTCGGCTCTTGATTTACAAGCTCTACCTCAAGGTCTAGCCGCACTTTTAAGCAAGGTAAAAACACTTGTTATTATATAGTTACTTACATCAACTGTTTAATGTTTTATCAATTGCTTGGTCATGTCTTGAAACAAGGAGATTTGATAATTTGAATTCTTATGTGCAGTTGGAAGCGTCAAGTCGCCAGAAGTTGACTGATGAACTTCGCAAGGTACTCGGTTAGGAGACGATAAAAGCTCTTGTGATCTGCCCATGCATTCCTGTTGTATTGTGTCTGTGTTGTAGATGCATCACCGTGTAGTATCGTACCCATTTTATTTGTGCAATTGAAACCCTTGAGTAAAATGTTATCATCAAGGGCAAGCAAATTGCAGCATCCCTAAGAAAATGGACATTCACTTGAGGTATCCAACTGTAAATGGCTTCAGTCTTGGATAGATATTTATTAAGTTATTATGCGGTTAGAGGATCACAGCCAGCATTGCCGTGGTTGATCGACTCGTTGCGTGTATCGGAATAAATATGTAATAATTTGTAACATTGATTATTTTTTATGCCAAACAATGTTGGGCAGTTGACATATGCTTACCTGCAAGTTTACAATCAACCCATTGGCAGTGGATTTATGAACTTTTTAAGCCATAATATCAGGCTTTACAAAAAGTTTTGTTTGGAAATTTATAGGCAATTTCATCAACTCTTAACATGATCACAGCGTATAAGTTATGATCTGTTTTACTCTGAAGATAAATGAAATCTCAAAGTTCTCCATTCTTTTTTCCTTCAAAATCTCTAAGCCAGAAAGGTTATATTTTTATAAGCGGTAAATTAAAAACAGATTCAATTGTTTAAAAATAAATTAATAATATCAATGTGTCAAGAAGATTGTTTCTAGCACTGTTATTAGCAAGGGTTAGTTGGTAAATCTGTCATATATGAAATAAGGGTAATACTAATAAACATCTAATGAAGATTGTTTCCATTTGCATTATTGTATTGAATGATACATGAGGGTTATTCTATTTTAAAATAAAATTTTATTTTGGAGATTCATTTTCGGGCATATTTGTTTAATATATTGATTATTGAGCATCTCAATAGAGTTTACAAATGCGATTTAAACACTAAAATCAACTGATAAACAATTTTTTTTTTATAAAAAATCATGTAAAAGAAGTAATTCATAGAAGGTCATTTCCTTTCAAATAAACATTTTTTTAAAAAATAAAAGAAGTATATCAAACATTTTAAGCTAATATTTTTCACAAAATTAACTAAACGGTTCTCGTTAAATATAACAAATGTGTGGGGTGGTAATACATTTCCCACGCATATTTATGACCATATTTATGTTCTTTTTGAGTTTTATTAATGTTTTCACTTTTGAAAATAAACTTCGGTGATGACTCATGTTGTATTTCGAGCGTTTGTACTCTCGGATATTCTTTACGTCGCGACAACTTTCATCTTATAATACATATTAGAGAATCTTTCCATATACTTTCATCTTAGAATACTCATCGAAGATCCTTTATAAAGACTTTCATCTTAGAATACTCAGCAGAGAACCTTTCCAAAAACTTTCATCTTAGAATATTCATAGAAGGTCATTTCCATTGACTTTCATCTTAGAATATTCATAATATTCATAGGAGAACCTTTCCAAAGACTTTCATCTTAGAATATATATAGGAGATCATTTTTATTTACTTTCATTTTTGAATATTCACCCGAGAACCTTTCCAAAGACTTTCATCTTAAAATACTCATAGGAGAACTTTTTCAAAGACTTTCATCTTATAACACTCACCGGAGATCCTTTTTGAATTTACCCAAATTTCTTCTTAAAAATAATGTAATGATGATTGTCATCGGTAACTTCTAAGTCCAACGAGACTGACACTTATACTGACTATACATAATATTACTTAATAGTAGCAATGTGAATAGCGTTTGACAAAATGCTAACAACCTTCAATCTTTACGTTGTCGTAATCCATCTCCACATCACTCTATACCCTTCACTTTTGAACTGTAGGGATGTAAGAAGGAGTCTAGCTCATCGTCTGATCGTCATAGATCAATAAAAAATGCAAGACAAAAAGAACTTGGAGCTAAGATTTACGTACAAGTTTAAAAATGAGAACGGAGTGTAAAATATTAATATATATGACAAACACGATTAGTTAAACAAGCGTATCTTTACACGTATTTATTTCTACTAAATGTCTGTTCATTTTAATGCATCCCTAAACTATATGCTTACTCGCGCCAATAAACATTGTCAAGGATATCTATCCTATTTATCAATATCAGATATCTCAAGACCACATGCCAACAAGGTACTCCCAATTACCAAGAGATATGCCACCTGACTTCACGTGGAGTCCATGTGTTATAAGTCAATTATCCCTAAGAAATCAGGACAAGAACCTTGTCTTGTCTCGCATGCATAAATAATAATTCTGTCAGGATAATTGACTTACACATTCCTCGATGCAATTCTACATGATCACTCAATCATTTTGTGACAACTCTCAACCATGATTATTAAGTTAATATTCGGAAATTATCATATCAACCTTTCGGGTTATACTTATTATCTAGATACTTGGTTAAGTGTCAAATGCATCAATTTTCTTGTCATTTTCTTCATTCCTTCTAGGCATGATCTTTATCTCTACACAATCAGTTCTTACAATGAACAATGTATGGTTGACTTTCCATGTAAAAGGCATAGTCCACCAAGTCTTGCCTAGCCATACCTAAATCTTATACAACTAATCAAAGTATTTCATTTTCCTTAAGTAATGAGGGATCGTCCTCTTGATTCCCGCTACGTCGTTGACTCATTTTCTTCGAACAATAATTGAGTTTGTTTCTTATTCTAACAATCGCAATCATTCAAATATATATTTAAATTAACAAATAAATATTTAGACAAATAATCAAATAATGCAAGCACAAATAAACTTTGGATATCATAGATCATCTCTATAACAAGTTATTAAGGTCGGGATAACAGATAATTGAATATCCATACTTATTTATTCCTAGTAAGGTTTTGGCCAACACTACTTTCATATATATTAAATTATTTTACGCTAACCGCCCTCAAGGTATACAGATCTTTCCTCTTCCTTTTGTTGTTGAGTGTTGTTGACAGTCTGCAAGCGCTTCCTTCGATCTTTGGCAAATACCTAATTTTCGATAATCGTTGAATTGTATGAAACTTATAAAATAATCAGAATATAATTTACGCTTAATTAAGTATAACCCGTTATAGCTTGAAATGTTTATTTTTAAAATTTTTAATAATAACCTCCACTATATTTAAATAATTGTTAAATTTAAATATAAATTAGACTATACACTAGTTTAGATTTGTTCGTTTTAGAAAATTATCAAAAGTATATTTCTAATAACATTTTAATTTTATAATAACATTTGGGCTTATAGGGACTTTAACTGATGTAATTTATCTTTTATTAGGATATCTATTAGAATATTAATAGTAATTCATATTTATTTAGTTGTACTATTTTCTTAGCCCCTAAGTTTGTTAGAGGGTATTTTAGTATTTTATCTTATTCTAGTAACCCTAGTTTTACCTTATAAATAGGGTGACAATCATTGTAACATTATCATGTTTTGTAGCCGTTATTCTTAATAGAATATTTTCTTTATTCACCTTTGCACCAACAATTGGTATCTAGAGCTCCAGTTCGGATTCATTGGGAAACACGGGAAACACGAGTGAACGTGAGGTCTTGTGTGTTTGATTTTGATTCTTAGATTCGTGTTGAATCTTAAACAAAATCTGATCAGAATTTTATTCTGTGGGTTGGGAAACACTGTGTGAGAAATTTGAGTGTATTGTGCAAGGTGAAGATGAACGGAAACGACAACATGAACACCAAGCTTCCAGTATTTGACGGTAAAAAATGGAATCGTTGGATGATCCAAATGCGTGTACTGTTTGGTGCTCAAGATGTTTTAGATCTTGTCACTGATGGTTATGTTCCGGTAGCAGCAGATGCAACGGATGAACAGAAAAACGCGCAGAAGGAAGTAAGGAAGAAGAATCAGAAAGCATTATTCTTTATTCATCAATGTGTTGATGTAAATGTGTTTGAGAAGATTGCAGATTCAACGACAGCAAAGGCTGCGTGGGACACACTGGTTAGATGTTATGGTGGTGACGCATCAGTGAAGAAGGTGAAGCTTCAGTCCTTGAGAAAGCAATATGAGAATCTCAACATGAAGAATAATGAGAAAGTTTCTGAATACATCTCCAGAGTGATTCTGATCACTAATGAGATGAAGGCGTGTGGAGAAACTCTTTCTGAAGAAACAATCATGGAGAAGGTATTGAGATCCCTTACCTCTCAATTTGATTACATTGTGGTATCAATAGAATATTCCAAAGATCTGAGTACCATGAGAATTGAAGAGCTGCAGAGCAGTTTAGAAGCGCAAGAGTTGCGTTTGACTGAGAGAACTTCTGAAAGGGAAGTAGAGCAGCAGGCTCTGAAAGCAACTTCTAATAGGAGGTATCAGAAGCAGTCAGAAGCCAAGAGAAGATCTGATGGTGGTCAGAAGTCAGAAAGCTCAATCTCTGATAGGCAAAAGAATGCTCAGAAGGGAAAAGAGAAGTATGACAAGAAGAAGATCCAATGTTACTGTTGTAAGAAGTTTGGTCACTTTGCTAGAGATTGTTGGTCAAACAAGGAGAAGAAATCAGAAGAAGCAAATATAGCCAGAAGTTCTGATGACGAATCTGTGTTATTAATGGCCTCTGAATCTGATGATATGGATCTGACAGACTGGTGGTATATGGACACTGGTTGTTCAAATCATCTTACTGGAAACAAGAAATGGCTGGTTGACTTTGACTCTGAAAAGAGGACAAAGATCAGATGTGCTGATGACAAATATCTTAATGCAGAAGGTATGGGAAATGTCAGAGTGACTCTGAACAATGGGAAAACAACATTGATTCAGAACGTGTGGTATGTACCTGGCATCAGAAGCAATCTGATGAGTGTGGGACAATTAATTGAGAAAGGTGTTTCAGTTACCATGAAGGACAATCTTCTGAAGTTGTATGACTACAATCAGAAGTTGATTATGGAGTCAGAACAGGGAAGGAATAGAACATTCAAGGTGAATGTCAGAACTGCAGACTCAGAATGTCTTAGTGTAACATGTGCTGAGAAGGAG